GTCAGCATTCCAGACCCTTGGGATGAGGCAGTGGGAGAGGATCTCTCCAGATCACCCCTTGTCTGCATTCCAGACCCTTGGGATGAGGCAGTGGGAGAGGATCTCTCCAGATCACCCCTTGTCTGCATTCCAGACCCTTGGGAAGCCCTGAGAGGCGTTTCCAGGTTGGGAAGTGTTTGGTGACAGGGACAATCTCCACGTGAGAGCTGCTGGATCAGCTCTGGAGCCACAAATGGCTCCTTCCTGCAGGGACCGGTGGCAGGACAGTGCCTGGATCCCAGAGCCCAACTGCTGGGGACAGGAAGGGGGCAGGATGGACCACCTGGAGTGGGATCTGACCCACACATGGATCCCCAGGCCGTGGACCCTCGATCTGTCCAGTCCTGTCTCCAGTTCCCAGATGTCTCTGACACCAACACAAACCAGTTCCCTGCTGGCAGCTCCAGCCTTTCCAGTGGCCAGCTCTCAAACCAGTCTGGTCTCTCCAGTAACAAGTTTCCAGCACTCCCAGTCTCTCCAGTAACAAGTTCCCAGTCCTCCCAGTCTCTCCAGTAGCTGCCCAAGGTCTTCCTGCATTTGGTCCTCTCACAGCACCTCCAAAGGTCTGGCACCATCCCCGGATGCTGTTCCTGGCATTCCAGGATGAGTCCCACACCCCTGCAGGCAGCAGATCCTGTAGGACCACAGGCTGACACGGAGAGATCTCCCCATGGACTCATCCCAGGGGTCTGGAACACAGACCAGGGATGGAGACTCATCCCAGGGCTCTGGAATGCAGAGCAGGGGTTACCTGGAGAGATCCCCCCACTGCTCTGAGCTCTTCCTGGAGCCTTCCCTTCTCCAGGGGAACTCCCCCAGCTCTCCCAGCCTGGCTCCAGAGCAGAGGGGCTCCAGCCCTGGGAGCAGCTCCGTGCTTGCCTCTGGATTCATCCAATGGAGGCAGCAGCTCCTCCAAGAATTCCCTGACCTGTTGCTTCCCCACTGCCTCATGTTCCATTGTCTGCTCCCCTCTGAGCTCTGGGAGCTCACTTTGTCCGTGAACACTGAGACAAAAAGCCAAGTTAAGCCTGACTTTGGTCCTGTCTAACTCCTCCACGGCTGATTTTTCATCTGCAGAGTCGCATTTTCCCTGAACTTCCTTTTGGTGCCACTGTGCCACTAAAAATATCCCTGTTCTGCCTCAAGTCTGTTCCCAGTCTTTGCTCCAGCCGGGCTTTGCCTCTCCTGACGCTGTCCCGGGTGCTGGAGCTGTGCCCGAGTGCCTGTCACCACGTTCCTCAGAATCCCAGAATCCCTGAGGTTGGAAAAGCCCTCCCAGCCCATGGATCCACCCAGAGCCCCATC